CTATGCTTGCGTCTCATTTGACTCATCCCTCCTCCACCAGCCTCCCCCTCCACACCCACCTCTAGTCTCCTCGTCTCAGGTGACCTTGTGACGTCAGCAGAGTAGGGGTGGGAGGTGCAGTGGTGTCCAGGCACAGGGTAGGTGAGGCTGAGAAGGCAGTTGTAGGTACGTCACTGCGCGCTTAGCACGTGGTGGTCTCGTCCTCCCGAGTCCAGCCACACACGCACACTCTCTCAAGGTAAACAAACTTGCCCGCTCCTGCTAGAGGCGCGACTTGCGAATTCCCAAGTCCTCGTAATTGTGAGAGTGCTGTCGTGTGATTTGGAAGTGATGTGTGTATGTATTTTTCCTGAGTCTTGGTGATTTTGTGAGATATTGTATTATTTGTGGACTAGCAGTGAGATATTACATATTTTCCCTGTGTTTGGCAGCGAGACGATGAAAAAATCCCTATCTTGGTTATTGTGAGGTATTGGTCTTTCGTGTGCAAACATTTATCCACAATGTTAGTTAACGCCGAGGTAACTTAAACGCTCGGGGTTTGGAACTCAGCCGTACAAATAATTTATTATCCTGCCATATATATGAATCACTACAACATTAAATAGTTAGTTATACATATCTACAAACAAGATTATGTTCGTCTTTTTTCACACTGATAGAGGTCTAAATAAGTTTGCCCGCACGAATAGTTTGTTCGTGCTGACACATCCGAGATGATAGCAATACCCTTTCCTTATAGAGGCGGAAGAGAGGGGTCTATCATCTCCGTAAAACGTCAAAAACTTCTTATCATCGACTACTCGTGACGTGAATAGTCACTGGCAATGACAACTTTGGCCAAACAGATCTGCCAGTGTCCTTGGTGCTAATCTTGCCCTCAGTGCCTGTGTTTTATCAAGAGCTTCAAGGTAACCTCGCTGTCTGCCATACCTTGTTGTTGTTGTTTACATGCATCAATGTGTTTCTTTTACTACAGACTTTGAGTACGTACTCTAAGTAGGTACGTAAAGTACTAGATAAAATTACTGATATAAATGCTCCATGAAATACTTTATATCCCGAAGTGTTTGTCCGACTGACGCACTTGCAGAAGACGACTGTGTAAGCAATTAGTACCATAATTATTGTTGATTCTTCATAATTTCACAGTATACTAGAATATTCAAGGTTTACACAACTAGGTGGTAATCTTCCGTGTCACTGAAGATACCAGTTCATTTTCCGGATGATTTTAAACGGTGTGCAATGTTGGTAGCCAACGTGATGTTGACGACTGCCACTAATGTAAACAGGGACATGCGCCGGGCTAGACTAAGCGCTGGGTTGAAAAAATCAACCCTGGCGCGCAATTGCAAAATTAATGGCTTTAGCCAACCCCTTGCCTGGTAGAGCAGCAGGGAACCACATTACTACATTCCTTAGACATACGACCGTGGCTACGCTATCACTCTTATATCACACCATGAGATGCGTCGTGGCGATAAGCCATTACTCATAAGAACGTAAGAATGGAGAAACTGCAGCGGGCCTATTGGCCCATACTAGGCAGTCCCATTTACACCCAACCCCTATTGCTCAGATACTAATTAGAAAGGTAGAAGCACATGGCATCAAAGGTAACATCCTTAAATGTATTAGGGCGTGGCTACAGGGCAGGAAACAGCGAGTGAGCATTAACGGCACTAAGTCCCATTGGAGCAACGTCACAAGGGGAGTTCCCCAAGGCTCAGTACTTGGACCATTATTATTTATTATATACATAAACGACATAGATATCGGCATAGAGAGCAACATAAGTAAATTTGCTGATGACACTAAATTAGGACGTGTTATTAAATCTGACGAGGACTCCGCAAAACTACAGGAAGATCTAAACAAATTTTTCGAATGGTCTGAAAAATGGCAGATGAAATTCAATGTGGACAAATTTAAAGTACTCGTATAGGAGATGTAAACAGGAAAACCAGATAACAGATGAACAACGATGCCATAGAAATCCGACTTCGAGAGAGATTTAGGATAATGATAAGTAGGAACCTCAAGCCAAGTAAACAATGTGTTTTGCTCGTAACAAGGCTAATAAAGTACTTGGGTTCATACAAAGGAGTGTTAGTTACAAGACTAGCGAGGTCATCCTTAAACTGTATCATGCGCCAGGAGACCACACCTGGGTTACGCAGTTCAGTTCTGGTCACCGTATTACAGGATGGATATAGAATCATGGAAAGAATTCAGAGAGAATGACAAGACTAATCGGGCATTAGGAACCTTGAATATAGAGACAGGTTAAAGCATCTTTTTGCACTCCTCGAGAGACGTAGAGCGAGGGCGACCTGATAAGGTATATAAGTGGAAGTCAGGGCTAAACAAAGGGACATTACAAATGTCCTCAAACTATCAACCAGGAGCGAACTCGTAACAATGGTTTTAAATTAGACAAATTTAGATTTAGGGTGAAATAGGTAAACATTGGTTTGGAAACAGAGTAGTGGATGAATGGAACAAGTTACCAAATATCATCATTAACTCGAATACGCTGAATAGCTTCAAACATAGGTTGGATGCTTACATGAGCAATAGGGGTTGGGTGTAAACGGGACTGCCCAGTATGGGCCAATAGGCCCGCTGCAGTTTCCTCCATTCTTATGTTCTTATGTTAACTAATCATGTCTGTCTTTACTTCATACGTGGAGTTGTTTTGGCGTGTATTCTAACATATTTCAAACTCCATAACTACAGCAAAGTTATGATTTATCTCGAAATCTGACACCATTAGGTACAGTATATTATGTAACGCTCTGCCTTGGCAACGTCCTGCCTCCGTTAGCTAACATTTAACGGGTCACACATTCATTACCTTGAGTTTATATAACTTGCTGAAACAAGCTGTGCCATATAGTGGATAAAAAATAGTCTTTAAGAATTGGTCACTAGCTGTCTTAGTATATATTTGAGATTATCCCAGTAGAATTCTTGTATAGATTTACGATTACATATGGTAAAAAAAATCTGGTTGTGTTCTAACTGGCCACGCCCAAGTTAAAAATTGCTTTCACGTGATCCAAAAGCAATCGTTTAATGACAGTGAACTTAGGTTTCAAAGTTACCAAGTATTTCAGTCAAGGCTTAGAAAAAAAGTTTATTAACCGACTGCGATGCGGAAGAACGTTTGTGGCTGAATCTTGTCCGCTCTAGTCCGTTCAACACCCACCTCTCCTAACTTGACAGATGGATGTTTTTTTTTTTCGCGCGTGAGGGATGTCATATTCTTAACCTTGACGTAACACAACCAGTGTTCAGTTTTTAGTAATCACTCTTAGAATTTGTCTGTTGTTAGAATTATCCTGTCAGTTGAAACCCCCTAATAACAACAAAAACAACAGTCTGTGCAACGTTCTGGGTGACCTTGGAATCAGCAGCGGGACACGGGTGACCACACGTAACACAGGCATCCGTCGCTGGGGTAGCCTATCTCACTAATACACCTGGGCAATGTTGAAATATAACAAGTTAGAATCTCTATGTGAGGGTGTAAACGTTGATACAATCTGAGGTGACACTAACAATTTCTCTGGAAAGTTGTGAGTTACTAATACTGTATATAAAATGGTACAGTTCGGCATTTGACAACACTCTCGGGTGATCGTCGGCATCCGTAGCAACTCGTCACACCAGCTGCAGGGAGAGGCAGTGCAGGTGGTGGTGGTCGTTGTGGTGGTGATGGCACGTGGTGGTAGTGTAGGTCATTGTTTATCCCCAAACAGGTGGCGAGGGAGGGGGGGGGGTCGTACTGTATGTGGCGAGATACAGTTCTCAGGCGCTGGCATTTATTAAAACCTTGAAATACTTCTTTATCAGTTTTGTAAAGAGGCGTGGAAAAGTTATTAACAAAAGGTCCCGTCGCTTAGAAACCTTCCATTTCGCTACACATGAGTTCTTGATTAGTTATCAGTTACTGCAAACCTATGTACTGTATATGTAACTGAATTATATTTTTAAAAGTTGTTTCTCGGAACGAAGGTGACTGAGACAAAAAATAAATGCAAACTGCTGGAGATTTGGACTAATGAGTGAAGATGATGCAATTTCCCATCTTACTAGAAAGAAAACGAGACGCCAGCTAACAAGACGATGACCCGTGGTGACGTTAGTGTCGCAGATGGAATTTCTTTACGAAGATAAAACTCTTATATTAATTTTGTTTGAATAACGCTCTCATATGCTAGAAAGTTTGCCGAAGTCAATATAAGTTAATTATTGTTCCCCGTAATATCACCATGAAGGGAAATTTAAGTTGCATGGAGTATCGATATAACCAAACCATAGTTTTATCTCATATTTTATTTTAATTGTTGTTAGAATACTGTAGTGTAATTACTTTGTTACGCACTTAATGACCTTCGTTGTTGAAGCCTAGTAATAACATAACACAACCAAGCAAGTGGGGATTAATATATATATATACAGTATATTCAAGGTGAAGTTAGCACGTCCTCCTTAAATACTTGAATCTAAGTAAATATCTCTGACCTTCCCTGTAAATATGATAACCCAAAACCTTAATATCAATAGGGTTGCTAAAATAGTATGAAGTTCGTATAAAAGGCTCTACGGTGAATATTACTCTTAATTGAAGATATAAAAATTCAACCAATTGGTGGACTTAAATTAAAAAATAAATAAAAACAAACAATTACATTGAAACTCTACCTTAAGTTCCTTAACCAGCTACGTCAATTAGGAAGCAGAATTATCGTGTAGTCAAATCTAATAGTATTTAGTATGCTAATTTTATGCATTGTTCAAGTTAGCAAGATAGATAGATGCATTTCTACAGCTCAGGTATAAGACATTAATCATCTTGTGAACCTTTTAGAACCTGGACTCCGGTATAATGAGAAAACAATCGTTCTTGGTGACTGAGAAAAAAGTTGCAGGACACTGACATATCTGGAGAAACGTGGTGTACTTTTTTCGGTCGTGGTTTACCTCAAGGTTGGTTGGGGACAAGTGCGAACTCTCTACCTTGGTACACGCGTGACGCTGTTTTAGCTTTCAGTAGACCACTAGACCTGGCAAGGAGGAGGTTGAATTCGGTGAGGAGGCATAGTACTGATGAGACGTGGTTCGTGGTTGTCGTGTTCAGTTTATACGCTTGTGAGCGGAGGAGCATAGTTTTAACAAGGTACAAAGCTGGGTATTTATTAATTTTAGTGTGAATTTTTTTTCTGTTGTACTTGACTGTACAGTATTTTGTGCTCAAATCTTAATTTCTTGTGCAACTGAGCGGTTATGGAGATATGACCCGGACCCTCCTGTGGGGGGCACTACTGAACTAAATAAATCTAACCTAACAACGTGCCCCGGAGGACAATATTAGTTTCAGCATTAAACGTCAACAAAAAACATCAGGGGAGATTAATAATCTTCTAAGTACTAAATATTTTTTTAATGCATTACTGCGCTTCAAAACCTTGTGTCTTTAAGCATGTTTACTAGATTAGTTATTACACTAGTCACCAATAATTACAAACTGCAAGAGATGCATCTGGTATGTACCGAATTCTATCATTACTTGGCGGGTGTTGGTAGGGCTGATCCCTTCAACAACACAAGGACCTTAAGGGACCCTCCAACAAAACCTAAAACAGCACATTCCCTTGGATCGCACTTTAAACCAGCTTAGCTTAGCTTATCTAACCTCCCTTGCCCCTGGAGGACTGAGGGACGTCTGTCACTGGTTAAACCATTGGAAAGCCCACCTGCTATCGTTCCCCTTCTGTACTTCCCACTTCTTAACTATACCTTGCCCTAAATCTGCTTGTTCACCTCAGAGCCGGCTCTCCGAGAAGTTCTGACTGACTGACTGGAGCGGGTGAAAGATGTGCTTCCTTCAGTGACAATTTTCAATTGATACGTGGGTAAGGGTAACAACAGGTGTTTGCTTTGTTGAATGGGGATTCGTGTTTAGGTGTTTCATATATAATGTTAGGGTTCATGTGTAAGGGTTTGGGAACACCTGAAGGTTACCCCCAGCTTGTTTCACCAATTGAATAACCACCCTAACGTCAGCTTAACTCAACCTGTCTTAACCCCCTTGGTAGTGTTAGTGTATTCAGTTACCATGTAAAATACAGGGTGTCCATAAATGATTACCCTGATTAAAGCATGAGAGCATACTGTTTTTAAGGTAATCATTTATGGATACCCTGTAGTGTCTGGCAGCTTTGTAGTGGATCTCTCCCCTACAACTGCGTATCCGCATTCCAATGCAACAGTATCCTAGCAACCAAGCTGTTCAGGGGGGGGGTCACCAGCTGCTACAGTATCCTAGCAACACGGGGGTCGCCACCTGTTACGTCTTCCTAACAACGGCGGCGAGTTCCCAGTTTACTTCCGGCTCTGTGTATATAACGCCATTCCGAAACTGACCACATCAAGAGTGGGGTTGGTGGTAAGCGTCCACTGATTGGGGGTCGCTCACACTTGCAACCTGCAGTATCCTTCCATATCTGCAGGAAGGACAACTTCAATCCCAATCCGGCCTGGCTGCTCCTGGAGCTCCAGCGGAACCGCAAACAGGCCGCCTATAGGCAAAGGCCGTGTCAGTTGGTCCGACAATCTTAACAACAACAACATTGAGATTCATTCTTCTCTAAGCTCCTGAACACGCAACACCTCCTCCCAAGCTCCTCGCTGCCCAGCTCTCATTCAACCCAGCTCTGTTCCAACCTGGAGGCCAGCAACATGCAACATCTCCCTCCCACTTGGCTCCTGCACATCTACCTCCTTCATGCGCTACTACTGGTTGTCTTCTTAACAAGCTCGTCATCACATGGCATCTCCAGCACCAGACTGTCTTTCATATAATATATTTTATATGAAAACCACCACCTAAGTTTCATCCATCCCATCCACAATTGCTAGACACATAATATCACGTAACCCTACAAATAGTGACCCCCAGGCAACACTCACAGGATGGAGGGCGGATGGATCTCTACGACTTTCACTTCCTAACGTCGGGGCTGGTTAGATCGTAATGGAAGCAATCCTCATCTGCTCTGAAAGCTACCTAACGGCGACAAAATACGGTGCCCTGCTCTCCTCCTTGCCCGCGGAAGTCGCCTCGCATATCACGGACTACTTCCAACCCTCCAAAAAAACAAAAATTCGCCACCCTGCTGGACGCCTTAAAAAGCGCATTACCAGCGGACCACTTCAGTCTCCTGCAGAACCTATATCTTCACTCTCCCTTGGAAACTCACCTCCGGGGACTTCTCTGAGAGGAGATGTGTAGGCTGAACTCCCGGCTTACGTAGACAGACTTCCCGAACCTGTCCTCGCGCCAGTTTCACGCTAAAAGCTCCCCACACAAGTGCGTATCACCCTGTCACTTGATAGATTACTCGGCGACGCGCGCCTGAACTATGCGCCAACGCGGCAGATAGAATGTTCGCGAGTGCGCCTTCATGCCTGGCAACGTGGGACAACCGACCACACCAGTATTTTACACTCCGAACTTATGCTTGGTCCAACACCCTCAGCCTTAATACCTCACAAGACATCAGGGACCTGTTTACTGACTGTGAGCATTACCGACACCATTGAACAGTTCTGCTCCTCCATGCCTGCTGCTGGGCTGTTCCTTCACGCCGCCCTATCAGTCTTGCCCAGGCTGCCGCCCAGCCTCCAGCACAATGAATATACCCTCTGCTGGTATCACCGGCGTTTCAGCCCCCAATGCTCAAGCAGCTGTGAACCCCACTACCTACTCGAGGAAGCAGCAACAATGGAGGTTGGTAGACACCTCCAACCCCATCCTTCAGGTGCTCCTCCACTTTCACCTCACGTCACCGACCACCTCCCACAGAAATTCCTGAATTGACACAGGCTCATCGGTCAATGTCCCCTCCCTCCGCGACGAACACGTCAAAACTAACCCTCTTCACGACTTGTTAGCATGGCAATTGCCCCCATAAGCCTCCCTACGGTAGCAGCACCCTCGCCTTTGACCTCGGTCTTCCCAGGACTCTCGCTGGTCGTTAGTGGTGGCAGACTTCTCAACCCCATCCTTATTTGGCTTTACTCCACTTTCTAAGCTCGTCGCCGACCCAAGCCACCTCTGCCTCTACATATGCCTACCTTCTGTTGGTACCATCAATGTTTTAGCGCTAAGCTAGGCTGTGAGGCTCCCTGCAACTTCTACGGCGAAGCAACATGACGGAGACTGGTAGGTGCCATAACCTCCGCCACTATCAGCAGCACATCACACTTCTTTCGCCGGCCACTTCATTCCTGCTGTCCGTCACGACCTACAAACACTACATCAGGCGGTTTCTGCATTCAGGCTACTGCCCACCGCCAGCCTTCCCATCGCCCTGAACACATTCATCCACGCACCTCCTCCGTAGTCTACCCACCATTGCCACCCACAGCACCACCTCGCCCACAACATTTCTGCATACCCTCTATTCATCCTCAGTACCTACTGCTCCCTGAAGACCCGCAGCCGGCCCTATTATTGCCAGATACCCCACCCAGCCCCCCTCCACCTCTTGGCGATAAAGCACCCCATTCCCTCGCCAATTTCCAACCTTCTCCCTATCCACAACCCTCCTTCTCCCTCTTTCAGCTTCTCCCAGATCTCGTGCCTCCAGGCAGGTCGTCACCCGTAGCAACCGAGTGCGTCCACATCCTGCCTGTTATGTCTCACATATGAGATACAACCCTGCCGTCACGCGTCTTTCTATAGCGTCTAGGAGGGTATTGTAGTGAATCTCCCCCAACTGCGTACCAGCATTCCAATGCGACAGTACCCTAGCAACACAGAGAGAGAATGCCTACCTACCATCTTCCTAGCGAGTCAAAAACCGGCAAGTTGCGGGTTTTACTTCCGGCTGCTGTGTATATAAGCTCTGTCTCTCCATTGAGATTCATTCTTCTCTAAGTTCCTGAATCACGCAACACCTCCCTCCGGCTTAGCTCCTCGCTGCCCAGCTCTCATTCAACCTGGAGGCCAGCAGCAGCACAACATCTCTAACGGCTCCTGCACATCTACACCTCCTTCCTTACGCTACTCTGAAGCGTGTCTTCCTGTAAGCTCCTCACCACACGGCATCTCCAGCAACAGACTGTCTTTCATATAATATATTTTTATATAAAGAGAAAACCACCACCTAGAGTTTCCATCCATCCCATCCTGAGTGCTAGACACATAATATCACATAACCTAGCTTATCATCAGATGGTCTGATGTTTGTTTTATAATGTGAGGGATCGTGTTTTTTCGTGTGCCTATGTTATTGTGTATGACTGGGAAGATTTGAGAAGACCCCAGATTACAAAAACCTTCATAAAGGTGGTCCTTTAGCCTTACAGGAATGAACCAAGAGATTGAGAAGAAAAATGCAGAAATACAAATTAGTGAACTTATAGCAAAGCCAGAAGAAAATAACAATAGATACTTTGAAAAAATATAAACTTCAATTTGAAGAATTTTTAACTAATTACGGTATTTAATAGTTCATTTGTTTGTATTTATTCATCCATAATTATATTTCCACTTATAATTATTGGCACCCGAAAAATGGTATGGTATGTGAAAATATTAAGAAAAGGACAGGTTGTTAAGAGTGATGAATAAGAGTGGAAAGAATGATTCTGTAGGGAGGAAGATGTGAATGACTACTCAGTGTTAAACAAATTAAACAACATTCGAGTAAAAATAAAACCTGGCACTGGCTATTTACAGAGGTTTTGCTTGGTAAGATAGTGCTTGATTTTTTTTATGGCATATATTTTGTGTAGATATAGCTCATGTATTTCATTTCTATTACGCTAACTATATTGAACTTGTATTGGTACAGGTGGAGTGATGGCTACAGTAACCTCACCACCATCACTGCAGCTACTGTGTGAGGCCACCGCTTCTGCATGGCTGGTCCAATGGTCAGGAATTTTGGGACAGGTTGCTGCTCAGGCTGCTTCCTCTGAGGCCCCCACTACCTGCAGGGGACTTCCACATGCCTCAACCCAGTCTTCAGACAGCACTAAAACTAACACAGCAGGGCAGTACTTCATGAGGAATAATCCCCACTACTCATTAGAAGATACTTCTAATAAAACAGAGGAGCCTTATCTGAAGCAAGGGCCATCCCCAAAAGGCAACATTAAGAAGCTAATTAAGTCTTGTATTTGCAGAAAAATGATAAGAAAAATAAACAGCAAAAATGCCATTGTGAAGTACCCTTATGACAGAGAGACTTTCTCCAATGATGTTCAAGATCAGAAGTATGACATCTCATTGCCAAACATAGAGCTTTTAGAATATGGAAAAGTCAAGTTATTTGGAAAAAGTAACAATGTTATACTAAACCAGCCCTCTAGTCAAACAACATTACAGAAACAGAATCTGGAAATTCTTTTTCCCTCAAGAGCTGTTCCCTACAAACTCCATGACACTATATTAAAAGAGAATGTAAGAAAATGTGCCATGTACCTAAAATTCAATCTGCCACCTCTATTGATTGATCAAGTAGTAAGTTCAGCATGGATGAATATCTCAGAGAAAGTGATCACAAGGAGTTATAGAAAGACTGTCCACAATTATGATGTGGCTAACTGGGCCAGGAAAGCACCTATTGTGTTACTAATTGCTGCTAACATTTCTGAGAGGAAATTCCCTCTAAATATATCAGGTGTAGGAGAAGACATCTTTGATTATACTCTAAATTTTATTGAGAAACATTTTCCACTGGAACGAATAAATAAATTGACGTTACCAAGAATTAAATTTAAACCATGTTTGGAGATCAGCAAAGCTTGCATTGGTATATTAAATGGAATCTTGCAAAAAACTTCATTAGTAAGTTTGGTTCTTGACTCTATAATTTGTGATGATAGCATATTAAGTTTACTGTCACAGTTCCCTATCCAAGAGCTTAATATAGGAGGTAATTCGGTGAGTGAGGAAGGAATTATCAAAGGACTTGCTGGAATGTCACAAGATTCAGCCTGTGGCATACTCAAAGAAATTGATTCTGGTGAATTTTGGACACACACCCTTTCCCTCAAGGAAATCGTTGTGTAAACTTTCCATTTCTTTTCAAAATATCTCTAACCTTATGTACCACATGGTCCCATATATATTTCCCAATTTACAGTATTATGACCCTGGTATAAATATGCTTCACTGTGTTATGAGCTATGGAAAGACTCTCAAGTATTATCAAACTACAAACACCCCACATCCATCAACCTTACAACTAGCAAGAATAAAAATGGGTTATGCCAGTAGAGCCGAGATGCTAGAAATAAGTAAAATCTGCCTTCTGTGAGGGAAATATCACTAACTATTGACCTAGACTGTGAGGAGGTCTTGGAGGCCATACAGAGTTACAAACAGTTAACTCATCTGGAACTCACATTTTACCCATCCTTAGCTCCTACACTCCAAAGTTAGATGGAAGAGTACTCCTTCCTGTCATCAAAAATCTTAAGCAACAAATACAATATCTTAGTCTCACAGGATTTAACATCACTGGCTGTGTTTTGCATGAACTTTCCCAGTTGCCTGAGTTAAAAACACTGAAGCTACTAGAATCTTGGTTGTCAAATCCAACAGCTTGCAATCATCATCCATTTCCTAGCCTTGAAAATCTCACCCTACAGTATCTTCCAACAAATTGCATAATGCAACTTCTCACTGGTAGTTCTAATTTGGTAAACTTAAGCTTTGATGTAGTGGAGTCTGATTGGGTGGGAAATGCCATAACAGATGACCATATAAAGTACTTGGTAACATCTGGGATGATCAGCTCTATTCAGTCATTTTCAGTGTCATCCTCTTCCCTAACTCTCACCTCTCTGAAGACTTTGTCCCTTCTCCCATTCTTGAGGAGCGTAAGTCATGTTGCTAACTGGGGTTTAACGGATGAAGAATTACGTTTTGTCACGCAATCTGGCCTACCTCATATACTCTATATATACTAGCTTCATGCTCAATGCATTCTGGTTCTCAGGGATCAAGTAATATTTTGCTTATATAATTTTATTTATGATTAAAAAAAAAGGAATTTTCTTCTTCACTCAAAATGTAATACGTATAGTACTTCTTAACATACAAGCCATTTCCCAGTTGACGCTAAGTTACACAAAAAGCAAAATTCCTGTACTTTAGTAAAATATTGTAAGATAAGATATTTATTTAGAAAGTCACATGATAGTAACTAAACTGAATCCTGTAGTCAATAGGAAATACAGATGCAAAGAAGAAATTATGAAACACCAAACATATACTATACTTATCAGACTGGTCATTTTGCTGTCTACCATTTTCTCATCTTTTTAAGTCAAGTTTTTCGAGCTCTAAGGCTTGGGTCAAAAGCTGCTTGTGACTCATCTCCTTGACAACAACAAATTCAACTTAGGGAATTCTGGAGTTAGAGCTCATGCCAAATCTTACTTCAATATATTGGTTCATTCTTTAGGTATTAATCAGAAACCCTGTGTGAAAAAAAAGACAGAAGGATGGATGTGCATATTAATAAGTGTCTCCCTCCATGTTTATGGCAAGGATATTAAAATATAACTTTGGTCCCAATAATGTATGACTTTGAAGCAACTGGATCTCACTAACATGGTGGTTTGTATTTTTGTCTGTGACTCGTGCATGACCATTACCCCAGTGTCACCCTTTAATATACATGTATACCAAATAATATAACTGAGAAACATATACTGTATAAGGGTGACTGCACTGTCCACAATTAAACATGCCACATTACCACTTTTAGTAAGTTTGAGTCACTCGTGTACTATCGGTGATTCCTTTATTCTTGTAGAAAACAGTTTTCCATGGGTTGTGATGCCAATAGCTATTATTCTCCAGTACAGTAAAGTACCTGTCAACCATAAATTTTTTTTTACAAAATGATCTATTTTATTAAATAAAGAAAATTATATTCCATAACTGTACAGTACTGTATTATATGAGAGTAATTGAGAATAAATTCGACTGGCTCAGTGATTGTGAGTGGTGGTGTTAGAGACAAGTTTGAGGAGGTGAGTATAGGAGAATGATGACTAATTGAAAGCTTAATTATAGGCTTAATGAGAGTGTAAGAGAATAAAAGCACGTTAGTGTACAGGTATTTGTAAAAACCAATGATATAATCAAACTGACACAAGTACAGTACTGTACTATAGTTTATTGCATGCCTTCCTTGGACTCATGTTCATGATAGTATCCACTTTACATAATTATCCATTCTTCAGAAGCCTTTTGGTCACAAATTTTTCAGTTCACAGACTTTACTGTACTGTGTTGCTGTATCATTCACAGTTTTAACTATCCATCCTTTATTTATGAAAGTATTATATAAATTTAAAGTTAGATATATATCATGTGATGTGGATACAGCACTCTTCCTTTTCTAAGGGTTGCTGATTCATCATGCCAGGGGCACCCTTAGTTACCCCAGGTGTGATTGGGTACCCTACCTAAGTTGGAAGTGAATGTGGTCAGGTGCAACATTGCTTCCTTGTGTATCAATGCCCCTCAGACCTATGGGACCTGCTTTCAAACATGCACACACACACACGTAAAATTTGTACAGTAACAAAATACAGTACCTGTATATTTTATTACTGTGATGTTTAGATTTGTCAAATGGAAACACCAAATTATTATAACAAAAGTGATGTCGTTATTTCTACTGCTGGATTTATAATACAGTATACAATAAAATTTTACAACAATTACGTTTTTCTTATCATACAAATGTACAGAGTTATGTGTCAAATGAATGGAAGAAAGTAAAGGGTTCGGTACACTTAATACTATACTGTAGTCTAGTCCATAATTAAAGATAGTAACCTGTGCAAAGAACAAGCCAGTGTGTATAAATTATGAACACATGTGTGCCCAGTAGTACCATGAGTATACCCAGTACCTGCCAATACCGGTAGTGCTTAACAAAAAATTGTTGACCGTCCAACCAACCAGTACAGTACAGTGAATATAAAAATTAAATGAAAGAAAGTTAATGTGCACCACTGTATGTTAAACCTACCTCATGAGGTATACACGTCTCCATTTTCAATGAAAATCACACTGATTTAAGAATGAGAGAGGTTAAGCAAAATATTGGTGTTTTATAATGCACATCAATTTCATGCCATTTCTGTATATTCTACTGTACTTTGATCGTCTTTCATATAAAATAGAAGTGGCAATGTTCCTTCATTGCCTACTTATGTTTTAATACAAGATAAGAATTATGCTTCCATTTTGTGTCCTTATATAGTATCAGTTTCACCAACAACCTCTTTATTTATATTCAATACAGTGTTAAGACCAATACAACCCCTTTCCTTTAAATGAACACTTAACAGGTTGTCACTGTATTCTCTTCCTGAACTTTTTACTGTATTCATGCTAGGACTGGATATGTTAACATACTTCTTGCTTCCCTTTAAAAAGTAACTTGAAAGAGAGTGACCAATATTTAAAATACTGAATCATTCAGTACAGAATACTATGTCATATTACAGGGTTTTTTTTATAATATAACTGACTTTGCTATACTATTCTTATCCATTTCAGCAACACCAACTTCTACAATTTGTTAATGTTCAATTTTAAAATAATTAAATCAGTGATGTAGTCATGACCATTAAATCTAAGACTGAAACCTGACTTTTTAGACCAACACAAGACTTTTGGAAGCTTACACTTGAAGCCATTTGCAAGTTTAGCGCTTATGGTTCATATGAAGATTAGGCCCCTGGTAGCAATTGAGTGATTAAGCTTCAGTTGGGTTAAGGTTGGAGGTGTGAGTAAATGTGGGGTTCATATAAGTATAATATTTTGAGGGTTCAAATACCTTGGTAATGGAGGGCAGCTTTGCTGAATTGTTGTCTTCTAGTGACCTTTGGCAAGTAACGTGGCTTTAGCTGCCAGTTAGTCACCATAAGGCCACGTTCTAGACACATTCTCCCATTCTTCATAAATTCTACAAATCAAAATAAGCTTTATTCTACATTGAAATTTTAATAAATATTATTGTAAGATATTAATACGGAGGTTTTATTGAATACCTTGTATTATGTTACACATTCATACATGTGCCACGTCATCGAAGAATAAAATTTTATATATTAAAATAAATGTATATTTATCACAGCATTCACTTGTGTGCATCAGAATCAGTAAAATATCCACCACCGACAGTCAAGACCTAATCAGAAATATTTATACACACACTTCTGCCATAGTGCCAAAAGGAAATATGAACTTAAACTTGCCCAAACTTTTCTGGACCTTAAGCCACACAAAATCTTACATGCGTGTGCCCTCACATGGCTATGCGTTGCACTGGCAGTTGGCTGGCGATGCTTGAACAGTGCAATGCTTTAAAATTATAAAGTAGTCCTACCGTCTCTTACTGGTGTTATTAAAAGAAAGAAAAACGTCCCCTCGTGTTCCCCACTTCTTGTGTATCATTCTCCGTGTTTGTTCCCTAAACGCTCATTCTACAGTCAGTGTGGCTTTGGCGGCATCGCTGATGGAGGGTCAGTGTTATATTTCAACAGAAATATTTACCAACTATGTCTACCAACTCCCAAATGATTTGTATTCTTATCAATGTCATATAAATATGAGTAATTAAATGCACTGTAATGTACACACTCATTCTTATTTATTTAATGGGGTCACATCTATAATACACGAGGCTCGTTGATCATATCCGAGTGCAGTAAGCCCCCGATATAACAGACTAATTGTGGGGGAAGACCAGTCCGTTATATTCAGATCCGGAATAATAAAGGACTCGGTCTGTTATATACAGGGCCGGATTATCAAGGGGGCACAGTGCCCAGGGTCTCTGAAGGTTTAAGGGGCCTACAATTGAGATATAATGTACTGTATGTATTTTCACCTTTATGTTCCAAAAGGGTAAATGAAAATACAGATAATTAATAAATTTATGAGAGAAATAGGTTGCAGTCATAAGATTAAGTGATTATAAACGTTAATTTAGTATCTGTTTGGTTTGTGCTTAGACATCCTTTAAACCTGACTTGCCAGAAACTAACTATGATTGAGTAGAAGTCACACTGACCAGCCAGTCACGGCCTAGCTATCCACAGCCTAATGTACCCTATTTATATTCCTTTTGGATATTACGATTCTAAATATCAGAACAGGTTGAAGCATTTATCATAATACAGTGGTCCCTCAGTTAACAAACACAATTGCTCCACAGAGTCGTTCGTTAACCGAAAATTTTGTTCACCAAATCTATTGTTTCAATGGGATATTGGGTAATTGGTTCCAACTCACAGAAAAGGTACATACAAAGTACTGTATACCGGTATATGTTTTATCTTAGTCCCCAGCTATCCACCTCAGTTATCCACCTCCTCAGCCCCCTTGATGTGAGAGCCAGTGTAGGCCTGACTACAACCTCCTCCCCTCCACTCCACACCCTCCCTCAAACATAAACAAGTACCTCCCTCACTCTCTCACTCCCTCCTAACTCAGGTTTTCCTCCAGCTCTCTCACAAGTATAACGAGACAGAAGAAAAGAGAATGAGATAATAAAGAAAGAGTCAGAGTAAGTAAAAGAAAGACTAAAAGGAGTAAATAAATAAGTAAATATAAGAATTAAAAAGAAACGCAGTTCTTTCGTTACATTTTATTAAATGAATTTGTGGTTTGAAAAGCCTCGAGTAAAGATCCAAGATCCCGACCCGAAAATTGGGTTTCAAGACCTATCCAATGCATCACTGATTTAAATATAAATACCTACACATGTTATCTTACTTTCAGTATGGCAGTGATAATTTCACTCTTAACAATCCATGGTAGTATACTATTTATAATACTTTTAAAGAAAACAAACATGACTGAACTAAGTTATCAATTCAGAGCCATCATCCAGTATGTACAAGTGTCCTGAAACCTCCTACTTAATCTAGTGACTAAAAAAATTCCAACATTTGCAGTGCTTTATTTTCTACAATTTACATAATATACAACACCGGCACAGCACTGTGAAGCATATTTATTTGAATGCTTCTGAGATATAATTTCAGTACCAGAATCAAAACATCATGTGTAATCAATTCAAGAAGAACTTTAAGCATAAAAATTTCCAAAGATTTGTTACTATTTTCTGAACCAACCAATAACTGCATGCAACAACAACAATATATTCTGTGAGCTCTATTGAAAAAGTAAATATTCAACTCAATAGATAAAGCTTACAGAAGACAAAATGCACTACCTAGATAATACTTACAATGGCCTGCATGTATATTTGTGAGACAATGAGTTGGTAGTATGCAGTGTAGGATCATCTCTATTATTCACTCTTTAATCCTATATGTACACACACAAAGTATAAACAATGGCTGTATAAGAAACAGGCTCTAGCTTGACTCCTGGTTCCTCTGGTGCTTACCAAGAGCGTGCTCCAAGACATCCGAATCAACAGGAGCATTTGTGAAGAGAGCACCTGCCAAAACACATTAATCCATTACACCAACTCAGTGGATTATTAAAAGGAATAGTAAGGCTCTAATACTAAAACTAAAATTCTTTCCAAAACAAAATTTCAAGTAGAGGGATTACTTATCCATTTATAAACAAGAAGGTGATGCTTTAATCTATACTGTACTGTATATTAATGGAGGGAGAAAAAAATCATCTCGGAGTTGTAGATACAACTAAATTTCACAACGCAAAAGCAAAATTAGTCAACAGCAGACCATGAGAGTATTCTCCACCATCTATGAAAAACAATAATATAATGAAAAATGACAACTTTGACGTTTGTATATGTATTAAGTTCATATGATTTTAGTATCTATTGTGTCCTCTGGACATTGGTAGTACAGTACAGGGAAGCTTCGAGGTGCAGCGGACAATTGTCTGGTAATATTGCAGTATAAGGTGAATCATCGCATCGCAGGTCTTATTTACCTCTTTTTTCCTTCAAAATAGTAAAAATGGAATTTAAAAACTTTATGTTTTAATTGCATCAGTTAACATTGCTGGTGGCATGTTGCCAAGTTAAATTCATCACTACAGCCACATCTCCCTAGGTAAGCAAACATAATTTATTTCAAGCTTTTTGTTTTACTCTTACATGCACACACAATCATTCATTCAAAATGTGCCCCCCAAAAATAATTATAAGGTCATCAACATAAAGGGAATAAACATTTCTTCGGTACGCGGGAGTTAGCATACAGATTATGGAGGGGGAGGAGCGGGATGAGGAACCTCAGTTTTTTTTTTGCTCTCCTGTATCCTGTATGTAGGAAACTATTGCCAAATGGCAATGCAGTATTTTATTTTATTAATTAATATTATTTATATTTATTCCTCACATTTACTGGAACAGTATAATATATTACTTTACCTTATTCCTTACAGTTAAATATCTTCTTCTTAAAACATTTTCATAATATCTACTGTAATGTGAATCATCACAGTGTAGGATATATTGGTATTAAAAATAATAATTTAGGTCCCTATATTAAAGTTCATATCTACAATAAAACATATCCATAAAAATTAACATTTTGGAGCGTTACACACAGGGAGACGATGGCTGTTGTTGATAGTGGAGGGAGGGCCAGCATATGTATGAACACACATACAAACATACACTGCCCCTCACTTAAAGCGTGTTCGTTCAACACTGATTTGATCAAACACGATTTTTTATTACTATACCTGGTATCGCTTAAATACGTCACGGGCTAAGATTCGCTTGAACGCGGGATGAGACAGGCTAACACAGCCGAACACGGTCAGGTAGAAAACATTTTGCATGGACCAGCAGTCACATCCATTACAGTCCACGAGTAGCATCCCCAAGCAATGTGGGCTCAGAGTTTAGCTTGGGCTCGATCCGGCCACAATTAAAAACTGTGCTTGGATTAACTTCAGTTTTTTAACTTTTTACCCTTCATACGTGAGTACAGTAAAGTAAACAATATTTATTATTTATAATCAATTAATTATTTATCACATTTAAGTCAAATTCACAACTAGAGAGGTTTTGCCGTGAACAAGTCAATCAAGAGGAATGTTGAGAAGAGTAGTCGTAACTTCGGGGAGATAATCATAACTTTCTTCTTCTTATTATTTTTTTTTGATTCAGTTACATGCACACACAATCCTACATGCAGAATGTGCAAAAAAAAATAAAAATCACTAGGTCAAAAACTTAAAATTATAATACACAGTTCTTCGCGTGCGAGTGGGAGGGGGAGCGTTACTAAAGGAAGTCCCCAGCTTGGCCGGGTTGCTTGAGGGAGGTCACACGTGACTCAGCCAGTGTCTGCAAATGGCTGCAACGTTAAACTTTCAGAAACTGATTTCATGGAAACGCCAGTACCTCACAACATCATGTTTAAGTAAATTTGGTAATGTACTGTACTGTATGTGTATTAGTGAGCTACTTGCTGTACGATGTCTTTGAACTTTGGTTTTGGAGTGTTTTTGGTTTGGAGGCGAAGCTTTTTGGGGTCCACCTGACGCATCCTCTATCTCCCCCCATATTATAATGAGTTCGCAATCCCTGTACTGTCATTTCTCCATATTTATATAATTTATTTATTGTTTATACATGTATATAAAATTAAGTATAATTAATTTTTTTGTAGGTTTTGATGTAAATAAGAATAATTTTTGGCAGAACTTGAATTAGATCCCCAATTATTCAGTTTTAAATATGAATTGTCATTACTTGAACCGTCGCATAATAGGGCTTCCCTGTAATTGTGATACAGTACTGTACTGTACAGTGCTGTTTATCAAAAACTTTGAAATGTTAACAAGCAATAGCATACAAAAAAGTAAACCAATCATTTAAGCTCACCAACAAAGACGTGTGTGCCCCAGAGTCGGTGAGAAATAATCTTGCAACATCCTAAATCTTCTATGCGAAAGCCTAAGTAGCGATAGCGTTCATCGGTTTCAAACAATGTAGCATTGGTGAACTGTCCATGGTATGGCCGGCCAGACGTGGGGTCAATAAAATCAGCCCAGTAGCCATCTGCCTGTAAGGTACTGCATATGTCTTCAGCAGCAAGGATGAACTGTAATTAAATAGCAATATTGTAACCCACAGATCAATGATCAACTTGAAACCCCAAAAATGCTCTTTTTTTTTGCATTTTCATCTATATAAAGGCTACTGTATATTCTTATACTGTAATTATTAAAGCTGCACTTGTTTCCCCACATGCAAGCAAGGTTTCTAGTGCCTTATATGAATTATCTTTGGTTCCCAAACACCCACAGTTACACAGCACTTGAATTTGCTCCAAACAGGGTAAATACTGACTGTACAATACTGTACAGTTCATTAAAAAAATTGATTCAGACACACACACACCACTTACATATTCTATAAGTTCCTCGGCCTAGCTCCATTTCTTCGGACCAGCTACCCATGTCATGCTGCGTCTTCTGGCTCAGGGTGACAACAGCCAGTGGACCATCCTTTATGTTACTACCTAGGAAATAAATCTAGAAAATCTGCAATATAAAGATAATGTGCAAGAAAATTATGAATGAATGAATATTAACACAAAATTACAAGATGCTGTCAACAAATTTCACTAAAATTCTTTCCTGCTACAGACGGAGACTAGGATAGTAATGGAAAAAATTAAAGTAAGAATAAATACAAATAAGCAACTTAGTCTGATAAGTATTCCCATCAAGTGAGTCAATGAGTCTTCTTGTGAAACTAAATCCAAACAGGTCTACCTCAGTGATCAACAAGAACAGTTCCTCAAAGAGTTCCTTTCACCCCTGTGGTGACATTTGTGTATATTTGGCAGCATCACATTAATAGAGTAAACTTACAAATGAATCCATAACAAGAGAGCTTATTGGTGGCAATGATTCTTGGATGTTATTTTGCTTAAGAAATGGGTTAGGTTAGGTTCTTCAAAACTTTTATTCCAAAAAAATTTAAAAAAAGATTCCTAAAAAAAAGGACAGTTCAGTTAGGTTATGGGTTAGGTTAGGTTATATGTAGGTTAGGTTAAGGTAGGTCAGTTAGTTTTTCTTTTGCAGCATTTAAACATTTAAATCGTACAATAACTTTCAACATTATTACAATATTTAAAACTAACATTAACAGGCCACTGGCATCAGTGACGGATTTTGTAGTATACAGTATGCAGTTCTGTTTGATGACTGTCAGTGAAAATTTACGAAGTGATGTTCTAAGGTTCTAAACTCAGAACTAGTGCTCATGAGCAATTTTGAATACTGTAGAAGAGCGCTAACTAACTATCAGGACACAGTGGATTAGGTTAAGTTAGGCTAAGTTCAGTTAGGTTAGAGGTAGGTAGGTTAGGTTAAGTGTGCTTCACCTGCTTGCCTCATGGGTACCACTCCAAGTCCACCTTGTACTAACAGAAATTGAGTTTACTGCATCAGATTGTACCAAGATTCTTATACTGTATTCTGTAATTCTTGTTACAGGCTTTTATCCTGTGGATGTCAAAATACCTCCAATGGACACTGCTGACAACCAGCGCTCTTCCCTGTGATTGTGATGATGAAGAACGATTCGCCTCCTACTGTCACGAGGAACTGGATCACTTCACAGCAAGACCCTGAACTCCTATCATCAACTACACATGGTGTGTGTGTGTGTGTGTGTGTTGTGACTTGATGCATATTATTCATACCCTCTATGTTGCTAATGAACTGAATGTGATCAAAGGATTATACTAACATCTGAAAGAACCTATTACAGGTTAAGATAGGTTAGTTAGGTTAGGGTAGATTAAGTTTGGAGAGCTTTGGTTAAGTTAAGAATTCGAATTTAAGGGATTTAAATAATTAATTAATTCCATAACACAAAAGCACCAAAATGGCACCAAGAAAATTCATAGTTGGCAAGTAATTAGCATTGAAAAAATGTAATTAAAATCTTCCAAGTGTCATTCCAACCACTAATTACCCAGCAATCAAATCGTGGACCATAGATCCGAATCAGCATGCTCAGCAACGCCATTTGCATAGACGCGCTGCTTTAATGCGATGGTCACTTCTTAATCGCCGCATATGCAATGCAGACCCTGGGCAACACTCCCCCTTCCGATCTCACACATCAAGGAATGTTTTTTCCCTTATGTTTTTGACCTGCTCATAATTATTTCTGTTTCTTTTCTTATTTTGCACATTATGTATGTAGGACTCTGTGTGCATGTAACCGAGTTAAAAAATGAATAAAGTTAGGTTTATCTATCCGAAACTATGAATTGAAAATAATCATAACATAACTCTCTCAGCTCTTCCTGCTAACTCCCATATATTGAAGTCTGATTTATCAAGGTTTTGCATGTAAAAAATCCAGAATTGTGTGGTAATTCTCATGTTTAGATAATTTTATACTTTTTTATAATCAGCAAGGGTTCACTGTATCTGCGAGTAAGTTAATGAACCATATACGAACTCCCTATTCATGACCCTGACCTCTAATATTCCTGAATCTGCATGAGTGACGGTATTGCCATGTCAGTGTTGTGTGTCGATCCAGCTACCTCATCACAAGTATCACCATCTTGCTTGTGCCTATTAGGAATTATATATTATTTTCGCTTTTCTTCAAACATTTCTTTCCAATATCCTCTGACTCTTCTGTTAATTCGCCATTAAGACAATACCGGTACTATACTGTATTATCATCTTTAGCGCCTTTCTAGACTTTCACACTTCCTAATTTTCAAAGGAATATACAAATTCTACCTTAAAGATAGTACAAATAACTAAAAAAACATCTTTGTCTCATCCAAGCCCTGAACTCTGAAGCACCTACTCAGTCCACCCACCCTCTCTTCCCCTCCTTCACTCTAAAATCAGTATCATGCCACCATTAAACCACTGAAATGACTCTTTTATAGCCATATTGAAAATGTATTACAGGTATAATACCAAACAATGCATTGCATCCAGATTTCAAGCTTACCTTTCTTCACAAGATCAGGACACTGCTGGGCCTTGCACTCCAAGATGTCAGAGGGATGAGGCATTGCTGGGATGTTGCCTTGTATGTGTTTTTCAACAACTCTGGTTACCTCAGTTGGGTTACACTGATCAAGAGCCTGAAATAAATAAATTTAATTATTTTGTTATTATTGTTTCTAACATGCAATGTAAATTGTTCAAGTTAATTACAGTATATTAAGCTATTTTACTCTCTGGTTTTGCTTCACCTATATTTGAGACTGACCCGTCTTTAATTATGTTTCACAGTACAGTAAATAGTTAAGAGTATATTATTAGTGAACCCAAAAGAAGGAAAAGTTAATGTAACAGTACTGTACTGAACATCTGAACATACTGTAGTGTGAATCATTTTTAAATCTTGCAATTAGCCTTCCAAATTTGTTTAAAGTTAATCTATCTTAGGTTTATGCCTCATGTGCACCACATTTAAGGATACAGCACCAAGACAAAAATATTTTTCAATCAAATTTGCTCAAAATCACACCACAGAAACTACACAAGACAAAACAGTAATTCATAAAAAAAAATATGTTAACTAGTTTACTTTATTCAGTCTTACACTCACCTGTATCTGGTGCTCATGGTTGGTTTTTTTAGTCAGAATATCTGGGGCAATTTTCAAGTTCCCCTGATTCCTATATATTACAGGTGGCAGCTGGCAAGGCTCCAGCTGCTGACAGAGCCCAATGTTACCAGGAAGAGGAAGGCGTTGGTCACTTGGACCAAATATTCCTGCTTTGATGTCTAACCATGAATTGAGTGGTTCTGCAACATAAACAGAGATGACAAAACATCCTCAATCAAAGTCTCCTTGGATAACACGTATGTTACTGCAACACTGTCTCTACCTCAGCAATCTATTGTTGACTACTGACCTCACTTGGATGATAACTGACCTCACTTGAGGAAAGGTTGTGCCACGTTAGCTCCCAGGTAAATCCGTGTTAAAACCATGTCTAGTGCTAGCTGGGAGCAGCTCAGCACCTCTGAGGGTTAAGCTTGTGAAAGTGAGGGAGGGAATGTGAAGCTGGGGAAATCTGGGATAGCCAATGCCACCAAGCAGTGGAAATTCGATAAGAGAGGGTAAACAGGGATTGTGGTGAAGATGACTAAAGCACCTAAGTCTTCAATTCTTTAAGTCTTATGAAGGATGAATTAGACAGCAAGAAGGATATAGATAAAGTGTCTGTGTAAATGGTGTCACTGGCAGTAACCCTGTCAAAACCTCGCCTCACCTCGCACCTGCAGGGTGTGTGGAGGTGGAGGCAGCACCTATGATCAACCTTCTCTATCTACCCTCCCCCCCCCCATATAATCTGGTGTCAGTGCTGGTAACACTTGTAATGTAAGGTCATACTGTCACCCCACATCTACTTCCTCTCAACTTGGTGGTTTCTTTGAAATATTGACATATTGACCAACTGACTAGAGGCAGGATGGCAGTTTAATCTAGAGATAAATTATCTGAACCTGACAGGTCACTAATTCTGGTACTGTACACTGATGACAAGTAGCCTGTTGAAAGACTTCCAGGTAATGCATCCCCTGACAAATACCTGTCTCAGTATTTACCTCCCAAAATATTAGCTTGTCCGCTGGGCATATGGACATGAAAAATCACTTGCCAGGGCCTTAGTTCAAGCACAACTGGACTGTCGAGCACTGCTAATCTGCACAGCCTGGGGATCGCTCGTATTTTCTTTAAAATACCAAAAGTGCCCCTTTTTCTATCAATGCTTGTTCTTCACATGAATTGTGTGTTAAGAATTATACATTCTATCCAGCTGTCTGTCTTTATGAAACTTACATAGGCAGAGGTCTGCCATATTCTCCTTTTATTTAATTATCCGCAATGCTTCAGGTGCTCTTTCTACCATTATTCAACAAATGTTCTAAATATACCAAGTTTTCTTTCTCCTAGTGTGTTCCGGATTTCTTTACATTAGTCTTATTAAGCCGGGGGTTCATCTATTTCAGATGAGTTGTGTGTTTCCAGATTGTAAAGAAATAGATAAAAAAAATACAGATTTCTTACCTCCTGAAACTTCCTTAACATCAGGTTTAGAAGTTGTTTCATTTGAGTCATTAAGACCTTGACTTGAAAATTTTCTTATTCCACAACAGAGAGACTGTAAGCTTCTTGTATAAACTACAATTACTCGTTCCCCAGAACATAGCAGCTGCAAGTAAATAAACACTGTAATATGTAGATACTGTTTACATCATTAAACAGTGATTAACAACTAATACATATGAATATATACAGTACAGGTATCATTAATAACTGAATAACCAATAGGTAAATATGATTATACCTGTATGTTTTAAAAACACTCAAGAGTATCAGTACCGTACTTATATTGTACAGAAATATCAAATTTGAACACCAAGTTCGGAAATATAAACTAAAAATAATATTGTTCAAGGGTCAGTATTTGCCAGTAACATGTGAATTTTGCCCAATAATATCATTTTAATCTCTGGCAGCTATACTAACACAGCATTCAGTGACAAAACTTGGTCCAAACTTGCCTGATTGTAACTAGGACAAGTGTGGAAAATGACCACAAAATGGTGATAACAATACAGTACGTATATCAATGTTCATGATGTTTTGGGCACTTTTTTTAGGAAGACTACTAACCACCAAAAATTTAATCTTCTCTTTCCTGATGCTAATAACATTAATGTTCAGAAGAATAAAAAAAATTCTTGAGGATTACCTTTGCTGCCATTTCTAGGTGGAGAGGCTTGGTGCCTTTTAAAGCAAAAGTTATCTCAGGCTCTACCACCCTATACAGGCGACCGTGATCTTCACAGTAGCTGCTAACACTGAAAAATATACACATGTGACCTGAAATTAGATTGAGAATGGTGAGGTGGATGTGTAATGTGACATAGAGAGACTGGAGCCCTGTTCAGAGCTAAGAGGGTGGTCAGGTATTGAGAATATGGACCAAGTCCAGTGTAGAGGTGTCGAGAAGGTATGGGCATGTGGAGAATGGATGAGGCCAGTTGGATCAAGACCTGCATGAACTTAAATGTGGAAGGGGGGTGAGCCAGGGTCAGGCCAAGAATGACATGGGGAGAGGTTGTAAAGAATTATATTAGAGTTAGGAACCTGACAAGAGAGACTGCAAGAAACTGCTGCCATCAGATGATCACAGCTAACCCACGCAACTTGGTAAAGGTGGAGAACATAGTTAGCAGTAGAAATAACTTATGGAATTGGACCAAAACTTCTAGAGATACTATTTGTATGATACTAAACACAAAAATGGAATCTAACTAACTGTGATATACAGTATGGTACCAGTGAAGCAAAAGTGTGTAATTTAACATTTATCAGTTGTTGCACTGAAACACTTAATTCTTCTTCACTGTCTGTTCTCGGCCACATTTTGAACACTTGCACTTAAAATAGTGAGGGAAAATATCATCTTTATTAGTTTGAGTAAAACACCTGACAGGTAAGTATCATATGCCTTGGCCACCCGTCAATGGAAATAGGGAGTGGAAAGAAGTACAATTAACCAGAAACAACCATTAGTGGTGACAGTGAGATACCCACTACTGTATAGCAACACCAGGTAATATAGTGAAGGAACACCAAGACTAACTTACTGTAATATCGTGTTTTGTCATGGAAAATTAACAGTAAATGAACAGCACCAAAAAGAAAAGGGATTTGTGCAGAGAATACAGAAAAGAATCAGGAAAGTGAAGCCTTATACTGTAACATGAAAAAAAGGCAATCAAGCCAATATATATGGTAATAAAACCCCCAATATGAGGCTCCATTATTTATTTTTAAGTTAACAACGAGTGTAAACACTAGGTATGGGGAGAATTATCGGCAGAATATTTACAGTAAATAATTCATTTTTGTGCATACAAAGCATGTAGAGACCTGAAATGACTGCCATATGATCATTTTTTGCTGTGTTTTACCCCATAATTTCCCCCATCTTTCCTGTTCTGCCCACTAAAGGTGATTTATAATCTGAGATAAAAAAAAATTAAATAAATAAATATTAATTAAAATTAAAGGAAAATACTTGTATCATATTTATTATTTACTCCCATCCAAATAACATCTGTGAAAAATGTGAATGAATTAAAGGTAAAGGTTTATGAAACTGTTATCACCCGAAGGACATGTGCGATTTGGTTTAACTTTTTTGTCCACACCAATAGCATGATATTAAAACACATGAAGAATGACAATAAACAGAACCTAATAGAACCTGACCTAACATACCCATAGGTTGGGTATGTTAGGTCAGGTTTTATTAGGTTCTATGCATTACCGTATTAATTTATGTGTTAAACAACTTACCTTAATATTGAGCTTGATATACATCTGGAGGAATTCGTGGAAGCGTTCACCATCATTTAGGAAATGTCTCTTGAAGAGGGATTGAGCGAGGAACAAAAAATCAACAAACGACTTCTAATGATAACAATTTCATAAACATTTACCGAATAAAATAAATGCCTTCAGGGGTTGACCGTCTCCACTTTTCCCCAAAACGAGTCAGTGTTCCTGAGTGTTACTCCCATCATATGCTTAGTTCCAATAGGCTCCTTAGCAGAGGAAATTCACTTTGTGCTCTTTTCATGTTAGTTGTGATAACCAGTGTTTTTCTGTATTCATCTGCTATGAATCTTACTGCTTTATTATTTATAATCGTTTTGAGTGTTTATGAAGGTTATAATCCCCACAGGATAGGACTCAAATGTGGGTCATATATGTGTGGTATATCATTGTTTTTCATACTCCAAGGAACTTCCTGGAAGTTCTCTTCTCGATAGCTTTGAAATAATATTACAATTTAAATTAATTACACCCAATAAACTTTACCAGAACAAAATATGCACAGAGAAAAAACACAGGAAGGACAAGATGTTCACCAACCTTCAGGTGTTTACATTGGTCGAGCAGAGTACTTAATGTTATTAAATTACCACTAACATATTACCTAAAAAAATTTACTTAGTTTTCTAAGTATAACTTTGATCTAGGGCTCACCTTCTACATATATAGATCTTCAACTCTGCAATACCTTTTTATATTATTTAGCTTTAGGCTTTAATGGATACTGGATATTATATATACATACAGAGATCGGCAGTCGAATTCTACATCTTAAGCTAATCATAAAAACCCTAAACCAGAGTCAAAGAGCACATCTTTACCTAAGATTTCTTAGCTGCAAATCGATGCTGGATGAAATTATCATCTCCCGTTAAACAAAAATATGTACGGTACATGGTACTTTTGTTCGTGGTAAAATTTCAGCATTAGCTGTCTTACACCTCTTGCCAGCAGGTATACATTGGCAGAGGATTAATATATTGTATCATATTCCTGTATCGTTACGTCCATAAATAAGAGAGCTATTTTATTTCAGATACCGAGTTATATAATATTATGATCTCTTTCTTTACAATATAAAATATTATTGCTACACAGCTTATGTCACTTTATGATAAAGCTTTACTCATCTGTCTGACCAAGTCCCTCCTCGAGCGGCGTTTCGAAAATGGGTCACTGCGCAAAAGTCACAGCTACATGAACTGTGTTAACCTTGAGAACTTGAGTTAAATGTCGCTGTCAAAACTGTATGTTTTGAGACTCCAAATTTCACAATTACCAACATATGGTGCTCCAAATACAATAGGTATAGCATATGAAAAGATCATGAGCAAAATATTAAAATGTTGGTGTTGTTATGTTACTACTGTACTGCGCTTCAACAACGTAGCGTACTGTATGTGGCCTATAGTCATATATCTCTATGTTTGTCTATTTTCTCTTTGATAGGCTCACGTACATACATACACGTAGGAGATCTCGTACTAAGGATGGTGGTAAGAAGGGAAACTCACAATGGCGTTTTCTGTATATATATACGTATATATATATATATATATATATATATATATATATATATATATATATATATATATATATATATATATATATATATATATATATATATATATATATATATATATATACTATGTACCGTACAATGCAGTGCTAGGGAGTTGCTGTGTGGTGAGGAGCTTGTTGAGAGGTCTTGTTGGTTTGGGAGCGTTGAGTACAATGATCTTCACGGCTGTTGTTGTTGTTGTTGAGATTGTCGGACTGTTGATCGACACGGGCGATTGCCAGAAAGGAAACTCACAATGTGCTCTGTATACATATTTGTATTGGATGTACAATGCAGCGGTGCTCAAGGAAGTGCTTGTGATTTACAAGCGTGATGTAGAGAGAGGGCTGGTTGGTGGGATGCTCAGGAGGACAGCTTGTGGGTCACTTCATGCTCACCGGTGGGAGCGAGGACCGCCAAACAGGCGGAGGAGGAAGATGTTGCTGGCTGGTTGGTGTAGGTAGAAAGAAGACAGGTTACCACGGGGTCAGATGCTGCCTGCGGAGGTAGGCGTGGGTAGATAGTTACGCTCGTGGAGCGTCATGGTTGACCTAGACCACGAGAGCATGCACTGCCGATTCGCCGGGTCAGCTACTCAGCGACAAACAGCGTTTGGCAGGGAGAAATCACTACAGTCACTCCTGCCAGATATGAAAGGCTTGGACACGGGCCTTTGGCTCAGGCGGCCCGTTTGGTGGTTCCGGCTGGAGATCTTGGGAGCAGCCAGACCGGGATTTGGGATTGAGGGTGTCCTACCTGCAGATAAGGAAAGGATACCGTAGGTTGCAAGTGTGAAGGGACCCTCGGTCAGTGAACGCTTTCCACCAACCCCCACTCTTGATGTGGTCAATAAGTTTCGGAGTGGCGCCCCCGAACTGGGTCCGCAACTTGCTGGGGAGGATACTTCCGGTTATCTGGGCGGGATGGGTGTATCGTGTGTGACGACCCGGTTAGTGGTGAATGAGGTTTGTTTAAATTCTCGGGTTAGAGTGGCCGCTGGTGTTGTGTGTTCTGGAAGTTTCTGAATTCTGTTTCTGAGACTTTGTGTGACTTCGCAGTCGAGGATAGTGTTCCAGTGGGGTTGGCCGCTGCCTCCTGACAGCAGTAGGTGCATTCCCTGACGACATTTCCGATCGTCTTCCAGGTGCACTTGTAAATTCTAGTCGTAGTCGATGAAGGCAAACTCTGGGTTTGTCTTGGTGTTTTCTTGTCCGCGAAAGGTGGCTCCCCTTGTAGCCACCAGGGTACCATTTGGCTGATTGGGAACCAGCGTTGGAATGCGCCTGGCGTAGCCTATTGATGTGGAGCTTGGTAGTCTTTCTAAGGTGACTTTGATTCGTTGCAAGCTTACTGAACTCTGAATGTACGCTTCTAGAACGTGGCTGCTCGGCTGCTTGTCTGCTGCGCCACTGATCCTACTTGACTGGGAATCCAGTGTAAGACGACTGGGCGGTTTTTGTTTTTGGAATTCCTGTAGCTAAAAGTGGGAGGATCGAGGTTATGATGTGGACGTTGTCTCTGGTTGACTGTGTTGCAGTGCCTGTACGGCCGATTTCAGTCCGTGTGAATTGTTCATGATGATGGACTTGTTGTATTGTGTTGCAGCGTGTTGTAGGGCCTTTGAGATTGCTACCAGCTCTGTTTGTAGGGTGGAGCAGTCATTAGAAAGTTCCACGGAGGTGGTCTGACCCTGGGTGTAGAAGGCTGCTCCGGATGGAGCACAGCTTTGGATCCACCGAGCCGTCTGTGAAGTATGATGCTGCATTAGCCGGTGTCTCGGTGGCTACGCTTCCAGAGTTATTTTTGGAGGTCCCTTCTGAGGTTGGCTTTACTATCGCCTAGGTCGGTAATTTCCATATGTGGCTGGTGGAGGGCTCCATGGTGGAGGAACTACTGCAAACTACTGTCCGTGTGTCTTGGCTGTTCTTGACGAGTGCTTCTGCCGTATGTGTCGGATGACCTCGCTTGCCCTGTGCGACCAGGCAGGCCCCTCACACCTGTGGTCGAGATGGAGGGGAGGCACTGATTCGAATTTTGGCAGCCAGGGCTTATCTGATCTACAGATTTTGGCGAGGAGACCGGCTGTCACCTGCTTGGACTCGTGTACTCGCCAGGTAGGTTCGGTTTTACTTGCAAATTGCAAATTCTGGTCCACATGGGTGCCCGAGCAATTTGGGTCCTGAGAGCATTATTTTGGATCACTTCAGCTTAGCCATCTGGTCTTCTCAGTCCAATGAGTGCTGGAGCACTGTAATCTACCAGCGATCTGATGGCGGCCGTGTAGTAGGCTTTTGAGCACATGGAGGTTTGCCCTGCAGTTGTGCTGGTGTTGACCCTATTATATTGTGTCTGCTCTTCGTCCCAGCCTGAGATACTCGAAGCTGCGGCTTGAAAGTGAGTTTCTGGTCAAAACCAGATTCCAAGACACTGGTGGTAAGGTCCAGACTACTGGCGTGTTTTTGTAGGCGGAGAGTATCTTGTCTGGTGTGTTCAGCAGATGGCCATCGCTTTCGACTTGGCTGGATTTATCTTGGAGTACAGTCTGTTGCACTCTCTTTCTATGTTGGAGTGTGTTGGTGTGTTGGCTAGTCTGTTTGATCCTCTTACTATGTTGTAAGTCGTCTGTATAGCATAGGAGCTTGGCTGTTTGTCTGCTGAAAGCGAAGTTTGACAAGATTTTCCATCAGGACATTGAACAGCATTGACCGAGGATGCCTCCTTGTTCTTGTGGGGTTCCGTTTTCATGGACCCTGTAGCTTGAGGTTGCTCCCGAAAGCGTACTCTTGCTTCTCTCTCTGTGCAGTAGTTCTGGATCCAAATTTCATAAACCTTCATATTTTATTTTTCCTTTTTCAGCGAGCGTCGCTGTAATGGCCAGTGGATTTGCTAGTTCGAAGGCCTTCCAGGTCGAGGAACACCGTGTTGGTGCATTCGGCGATGTGCCGGTGTTCGGTGTATAAAGATGTGAGGGTGTGGCCCTACTTCTCTCCACTTGGAGTCGCATTAGCCTTTCTCCCGTCTTCGCTATGCAGCTGGAGAAGGGAGATGGCCCCGGTTTGTCTGGATCTCTGGGGCTTCGGAATGGGCTGTATATCTGCCTTCTTCCATTCCGGGTGGGGAGTTCTTTGTGCTGTCCACGAAGCATTGATGACTTGTAGCAGAGCCTCGTGTCCGGCTGCACCGCATGGGAAAAGCATGGAGTAGGTTATCCTGTCGGCCCCTGGTGCTGTGTCCTTGCTTGCTCTTTAAAGGACTTCTTGAGTTCTTGCTTGCTGGAAAGGTCTCTGCCTGGTGTCAGGCCTTTCACTGTTGCAGGCCCTTCGATCATCTGGTGTCTGACCTGTCGCAGACGCCGTTGTGTCTCCCTCCGCTCGTCTCGAGGTTTTGTGCTGCTGCCGGTCAGAGAACAGTTTTGTGCCCGCAATCCTCTTCTGGGCTGGGATGGGCTGGTGGTGGTGGTGGGTGCTGCTCTCCCAGAGATGCCCCTTCGGATCTGGGGCCCATCTGCCAAGGGAGGTGCCTGTCAGCCTGAGCACCAATTTCTGAGCCAGCTTACGTTTTTTATTTCTTCTTTCTCTTCCCCTGGTATCCTTAACTAAGTGACTTCCGCAGGAGATGTCTGTTTTGTTTCGTGGCATGTCTCCCCGTGTAGTGCTCTTCTTCTCGGGCCATGTTCACTCTGTGGTTGAGTTCTTTCACCCTGGACATTGCAGTACCAGTAATCATTGTACCGTCTTGATGTGGGTTTTTTGTTTTGGATAGCTTTTCTGCCAAGCAGGAAACGCCTCGGCTCAATTGTTGGTGGAGGGCTTGTCTCTGCCCACGGGTGTCATGCGCCGCCGGTTGTGATTCTTCATGCCACTTAGCCAGGTGTTTCTTAAAGAGTCTCCAGTCTGCCTTTTGGGTATTGTATCTCCATCTCGGCGGGGTGGAGCGGGTGGCTTTGTTCACCTCAGCGTTGTTAGGGGTGGCGGGGCGGTCGCACGCGGGGTGTAGCTGCCAGAGGCCGGCCGTAGTG